ACCCGAGTATAGTTCTTGATATCTGAAAAATTGCTTGAATTATTTACCTGGGTAGAGAGGGGTATACCCGGGTAAATCTCGACCAGAAACCCCAAAACCGGAGAGAAAGACATCCAATTAAATAGGTAGCAAGTAGTAAAAATGGCATCGTCCCAAAATCGGTAGGAACATTGCCATGGAGTAAGAGAATCTGAGTGGTTTCAATAAGATGATTTTTGCGCTCAACCTCATCTTGTTGAAGGATATGCGCACATGAAGTTTGGTAAAGAATGCATTGTAAAGAATTTTGGTAATAAGGGAACAATAATTTTTCTAAATAATTCAAATTTCTTTATTGCTTTTCATCAAAGGGATTAGTAAAATATATAGAGAATAAAGGCTTTACATCAGATCAGCCTTTTTGCTAAGATGAAGGGTACAATCCCTATAAATCAGCTACACACTAATTAGGAAAGAAATCAGCATTAAAAAAGGGAAACAAAATTGTAACAGATTAGGAAGAAAATAAATACTAATTCAAAAATAAATAACTTCAGAATAATTTCCAGAAATCAAGCAACGATGGAGCGTATTTATTTGGGCGCAATCAATGGGGATCAATTATTGCGGTGCATAACAACACATTGAGATGCCATAAATATTTGAAATAATTGAGATAATATTCGAACGGTTTTGGGGTTTTTGGTCGAGATTTACTCGGGTAAATAATTTAAGCAATTTCTCAGATGTCAAGAACTATACCCGGGTACACCCCTCCCTACCCAGGTAGGCATAAATTTTCAAAAAATACTCGGGTAGGGAGAGGTGTACTCGGGTAGGCTTGGTGATCAACGGTCAAATAGGGACAGATTGGTGTTATGTTTTTTGGGAGATTAAATTTTCAAAATAGTTTATAATGAAGGTCAATTTGATAATTAATTATTCATAAAAGATTATAAGGTAAAAAAAAACCATATATATGTATTAACAAAGGAAGTAAGCACTTAATTCGAGCCTAATACCTAACTCATTAAACAAGCCAATCAGGCCGGAACAAAGTCCAAACACCAACCACTGACCCATGCCCACCATCTAGCGGAACCCAATATTTGGTCTTCTCTCTCATCCCCTTCCTCCAATGTTTAACGTTGAATCCTTACATAGAATCTCGCCACTATTTTTTTTTTATAGCCCTCGCCACTAAATTTAAACAAAAAAGTGCTTAATACTATTAGACTAATCCAATATGTAAAATATAAGATACTTTGAAATTTTTTGGGTTTTAGTCCTTGTATTGATGTAAAAAACCTAAAATTTGTTACACGTAAATGAGAAATTAATATTTATTTATATTCAATCCAAAAGTTATTAAAAAATATAATTTATATGTACAAAATCCTAAAAAAATAAGAGATCTATCCTATTCCAGAATTAAAATTTAATTATTCCTAAATCAGAAGAAAAACACATATACCCCAACTACATAATTTGAGTATATTTAAATATTAACGTTTCTTTACAATTACAAAACGATGCCGTTTTAAAGTTAATATAATGTATTTTAATAAAATTTATGATACAATAGAAAAGAAATTTTTTCAAAATACCTTATAATTTTTTTTCTTAAATCCTAAAATAATTTTATTTTAAGATTGCAGGAGATAATTTTATTTCTTAAGAAGAATTCACATATATATTATGAACGTGTGATTCACAATTTGAAAACCGAAGATATTCTATAGTTTCAATTTTTTTTTTTTAAGTAGATAAGTTTTAAAAAAAAATTAATCGTCAGAATTTATGTTCGATATACATTGTCTACCAACAAATGTCATAAGCTTGATGGAGATTGGGTACGTTGATACATTTTCTTCATAAAAGTTGGGCATAATTTCTAAGTGCTATACGTTTTGGCCTTCCGTTTTTGGTGGAAAACGTATATAGTAAAGCAAACATGTGAAAGATTTAAGCTACCTACGGCAAAGTCACAAATATGCACAAACGTGGTCCTTAACTGATGTATTACTGATAATATCATAAAATAAAATAAGCAATGTGATGACTGTTAATGTAACGAATCCAGATCAGATTCATGTCAGCAGCGGGTCCATATGATCTTCAACCAGGGAAAATTCAAGAACAAAGAAAATAACACTTTACCATATATTAATTATATTTAATACCTAACATAGGAGGCAGAATTTTTGCCTAGCCAGGGCAACGTGCACATTGATATTAAAAACTGAAGATTAGATATTTATATATAAATCTTATATTTGACTGTGTAGAAGTACAATAATCAAAAACTTTATATTTAAACACTATTGCATCTATTTTTTTTTATTTTAATATACTGTATAAGGCTTGAACAAAAATAGTGTATAAATCTTTTTTTATTGTATGTGATTAAGCATGCAATCCTTAATGATATTTACAGCAGATAAAGTTTTTTCAACTGTTAAGATCAATGACAATCTTAAAATTAAACATATCAAATTCTATTTGAATTTTTAAAAAGGCATGATTAGGCTTTTTCACCCTTTTACCCTTCATTAATTATTTTATAACTATTTTGCCTCTTATTCAGAACTATCTACCAATCTGTCATTCTTTAATCGATTAAGCCAAAAATTTAATCGATCAAATGGTCAAAATAGGCAAAAATCGTTGACTTGAAGATTTAGTCGATTAAATCTCCCTATTTAATCGATTAAATCTCCTATGCATAAGGTTGTTCTTCTGATAAAGAGAAAGATTTAATCGATAAAGTTGAAGATTTAATCGATTAAATCTTCATTTGACTATTTAATTGATTAAATTTTTGGCTTAATCGATTAAAGAATGGCAGATTGATAGATAGTTTGCAATAAGGAACAAAATGGTTATTAAATAATTAATGAGTGGTAAAAGGGTGAAAAAGCCGACATTATTACCATAATTCCAATTTATGATAAAATTAAAATGACTTTCGAGTGTAATGTTATTTTGTTCTTGTCAATCAATTAATGATTATTTTCTTCTTAAAATAGAGCTATTAGTGATATCATTGAAAGAAATAACTATGAGACTTAGGTCCGTTTGGATACGCTTGTAAAAAAAAATTTATATTTTATTTATTTTAAAAGTGTTTTTTGCAAAAATCTATTTAATTTTTGAAAAAATATTTGGCTTTTAATTTTTTTAAAAAGCTAAAATTTTTAGCTTTTAAATTTATTTTTTTGACTTTTTTTATAACTTTTCTTTAAGCAGATATCTAAATAAACTTTGTAGTAAAAGTATATATTTTTTTTAAAAAAATATCTTTTGACTAAAACAAAGCGCATTCAAATGGACCCTTAATTATTTATTTATAGAGGAGTTTTATGTGGAGGTGAACAAGACCCATTTTAATTAGGTGAACAAAGGGGACCATAATGGGACCGTAACAAAGTTGGTAGCGGTATAAATAGGTTAGGTTAGCCTAGACTTTGACTTAAATAGTCTAAGCTAATATTTTAGATCTAGCCTGACCTGTTAACCTTATATAATTCTAAAACCTATATTTAACAAATAAAAGTATTGACCTAAACTTGTTAGCATTTTTAAACCTATTAAACATTTAATAATTAAAAAATAATTAAAATAATATTACTTTATTATTCAAAAATATAAAAATAATAACTTTATTTATTTTATTTAAAATAAATAATATAATATAGATGACCGTAAATTTACAGGCTCGACATAAAAAAACAAAGCCCATAGGTTAGCCCATAAATCTTATACGCTGACCTAACTTATTTATATCCCTAGAAGTTGGTATCCAGAATCAAAATCTAGGAGACAAATGTTTAATTTTACCATCAAAGAAATTCCTCTAGGTATTGGTAGGAAATTCACAATTCATTAAAGGGAAATAATTTTCTTATGTTGTAGAAAAATGCTTATCTTATGTTGTAGAAACAAGATTGCAAGTGGGACCCATAGGTAAGAGGAGAGAGAAAAAAAAGAAATGGGACCCACCTAGCTTTTGTGTGTGTAGGAAATGTAGTTATCTTATGTAAAAGTAGATAATTATAACCCTTCATTAAAATGGTCGTTGTTACCTTACTTTCTTGGATGGTGTCATTGCCCTCGCCTACCTAGCAAGTGCACAATCTTGATGGTACCTTTGATAGGTAGAAAGAGCTATAGTTTGAATGTGTGATTACGTGGTACCCCTACCCCACATTGGAAGCTTCACTTTTGTTTTGTCACCAATTTTTAAGTAAAGGGAAACACCGAAACTGCTTTTATAACATGCTTCCTTGCTTCTTGGTATACCATGATGCCTTTGGTCTCCAATGTTCGAGGCTCTCCCTTCCCTTTAAACGGTAATGCATTCTTTTTCTCTCTATATTCATTCTTTAGTAACTTTATCTCATCTTCTTATGCTTGTTAATGTCAGAATTCAGGTGAATTGTCCTAAACTTAGTTTAGTTATCTTTTTTCTTGTTTGGATGATCGATCAAGAGATACTGGACAGGTTTCTTGTGGCTTTACTTTTATTTGCTTTCTTTATTTTTTTGGTTTCACATGATCATCTGATTGAGTTTTAACCTTGTGAGTGTCCAAGTTTCAATTTTTTGAATACCCTTTGTTCCTTGTTCTGATTCAACTTCATGTATGTCATCATGTCTTTGTGTTGGAACCTTCATCATCTGTTTATTGGATTCAATATCTTTTTCTTTAAAATGTCATTTTATTTATTTATTTGGTGTTTTTGTTTCTTCCTCTCAGGGAGAGCATTTGAATTGACACACTGGGGATGCAGAAATATGTGCCTGAACCTCTTGATAGCACCTTATCTGGAGAGGTTCTGTAGCTAAGTGTGTTTGTTTGTTTGTTGGCTTCTGAGCGAGGTTAAGGACTCAACTGAAATTGTTTTTGGCTTGCCTTTCAAGGTGAAACAAATCCTTGACAAAGAAAGGTTCCTTGATTAGAAACCGTGGAACTAGGATAAACCGGGTTACTTAATTTGTGTTTGAGGGTTTGTGCATGAAATGGAGAAAAATGGGAATGTATTGATGCAGAAGTATGAGTTTGGCAGACTATTAGGTCAAGGAAACTTTGCGAAGGTTTATCATGCAAGGGACCTCAGAACCGGGGACAATGTTGCCGTTAAGGTGATGGACAAGGAGAAAATTCTAAAAGTTGGGTTGGTTGATCAAACTAAGCGAGAGATATCTATTATGAGACTGGTTAAACACCCAAATGTTTTGCAGCTTTATGAGGTCTTGGCCACCAAAACCAAGATTTACTTCATCATAGAATATGCCAAAGGGGGTGAACTTTTCAACGAGGTAGCTAAAGGTAAACTCCATGAGGACATAGCAAGGAAGTACTTCCAACAATTGATCAGCGGTGTTGATTTTTGCCATAGCAGGGGTGTTTATCACAGGGATTTGAAGCCAGAAAACTTGCTTTTGGATGAGAATGAAGTTCTCAAGGTAGCAGATTTTGGACTGAGTGCACTTGTTGAATCTCATAGTCAAGGCATCATGCTGCACACAGTTTGTGGAACTCCTGCATATGTAGCTCCTGAGGTTATAAGTGGAAATGGTTATGATGGAACTAAAGCTGATGTATGGTCTTGTGGAGTAATCTTGTTTGTTCTTTTGGCTGGTCATTTACCATTCTATGATTTGAATCTTATAGTACTGTATAAGAAAATAAGCAAGGCAAAGTACAAATTTCCAAACTGGTTTTCATTTGAAGTGCGCAGACTATTAGCAAAGATCCTTGACCCCAACCCAGAAACTAGGATATCCATGGCAAAATTTTTGGAAAATTCCTGGTTCAGAAAAGGTTTCAACTCCAAATCTGATGAACTGAAAGGAGAGGTTACAAATGTGACTTCAGTTGATTTTGATGAAGCTCTTGGTGCGTGTGAGAATGAAAGTGCTGCTGTTGAGGCAAATCAAGCATTGGCAAGTTTTAATGCTTTTGATATAATTTCTCTGTCCGCTGGGCTTGACTTGTCTGGCTTTTTTGTAAGCAATGATGAACAGGAAGACATGAAATTTACATCCATGAGCTCTGCCTCTTCTATTGTGTCTACAATGGAGGATGTTGCTCGCATTCTGGGGATGAAGATACTTAAGAAGGATGGGGGGTTGCTGAAATTGGAGAGATCCAGGGAAGGTAGAAGAGAACTGCTTTCCATAGATGCTGAAATATTTGAGTTAACCCCATCTCTCCATTTGGTTGAGATGAAGAAATCCTGTGGTGATACATTAGAATACCAGAGGATATTGAAAGATGATATAAGACCAGCTCTTAAAGATATTGTCTGGGTTTGGCAAGGTGAGCGGCAATAGCCTATGAAGCACCGACGCTTCAAAGACCTTGGACGTGTCGTGTCCGACACTTCCCAACACTCTCCAACACTCTAACACGTATTGTAGAAACTCAAAAAATAGTTCAAAGGTTGCATTGCGTTACGTTTTTAGTTTCAACTAATAGCTTCGTTGGATTACGATTATAATTTTATTGAGTCTAATATAAATATTTGGAATATCTTATGTTTCTTTGCAAAATTGATGGGTATTAAAAGTTTAACCTCATTTTTTTGTTAAATTATTGAATATTAAATATAATATACACTACATAAATAAAAAATATTATTTAATATCACAACGTGTCCTAACGTGTCGAAATCTAACAGTTTTTAGAATTAACGTGTCGGAGTGTCGTATCTTGTCGTGTCACGTGTCCCGTGTCGGTATCGGTGCTACATAGGCAATAGCAGTATCAACTGTGGTTGTGTATGCCTTAAAAGATTCATTGATTTCATATTCTGAATTATTTACTATTGTGACAAAGTGAATGTTAATTGAATTTTTTATATTTATACTATATTGTACATGGTTTTGCTTGAGAATTCCTGCTGAATTCTGAGATGTCTTTACACCGTACCATCCTTATTACTAAGTTAGACTCTTAAGACTCCACCAGTTAGCAATAAAGTCCACAAAGGGGGGGGGGGGAGTTCAACAACGAAAGCTTATTTGGTTGTTCTGTGGTCAAGGTTGTTCATTGGTGACACATATAATATCTTTATATTCTTCTTGGTTTTGCTTGGGAATGTATGACTGATTACTAAAATGTCATTTTGCCATACTTAACAATGAGTGCAAATTCTTTAAATACATTCTGATTGCTGAATCAAACTTCTGTTCTGTAATAAATGAACTAAATACTGGTCCTCCATATTTATTTTATTAGTTCTCTTTCTAGAGTTTGGATTCTCTATAAAGAATAGGGTGCATTTTATAAAGTAGTCAAGTACATAGTGGAATAAGAAAATTAAAGAAGTTATGTTTTCATATAACCATAATTGTCACATAAGTGCTTCTATTTGATAAAAAAAAAAACTAAATTGTTCATTTTACATCAATAGCTATCAACTCCTTATTTTACTCTGTAAGGTGCAGGGTACCTATAGTGGATCAAAGACCCTCTTTTCAAGTTAGAGTGTACTTTTTAGTGGTTTAAGCTTTAATACATTTTGTGTGAAATCCAAGCATTATGAGGCTCTATTCATTCATTCAGTAGTTAATTTTCTATGAAGAAGCTCACTCCTCTAGAACAAAGTTTGCCCCCCATGATTGCCTTAGATTAAAAAAAAATTGGGGATCTTAAGATCAAGATTATAATAGGGAAAACCACATGCATATCTGCCAAATGATTTTTCCAACAAACGTTGTTTTCTTTGACGCTGGTGAAAATGTTTTTTCGTTTGAACTTTCAAGGACATCTGTTTCAATTTAGCATAGGTTCATAGGCCTCTCCATTCAAACCATACAATTAACTTATCATATTATTAAGTTCGTCGTTTCATCATTCTGCAATTGCATTAGGTTTAGATATCTACTTGAAGGCCATGGATATTTTTCACCATCGAATTATCAGAATCAGTGAAATTTTTTATCCAACACATTCTTCTATATGAATGTAAATGCATTCCTTATTGTCAAAATTTGGTACCTGATACAAAACTTTATTCTTTCTTACTTCTCATTCCTCAACAGAGGGTGAATTTATACACATACATGGTAAATAGATAGGATTGAAAGTAACAGCTAACAAATTCCTATTCTAATCTATTTGTTATAAACTTCCCTATTTACAAGGACTAAACTAACAAAGCAATCTGAACAATTAAAATCAAATCTGGATCTTTTAAATTTAAATACATTTTAACACTCCCCCTCAAGTTGGTGCATGGATATCAATCATGCCCAACTTGTCAATTGCTATTCAAATGATTTTCCGGATACAGCTTTTGTCAAAATATCTGCGAGTTGATCCTCTGATTTAACAAATGGAAACTGAATGATCTTCTTGTCTAACTTTTCTTTGATGAAGTGCCTATCAACTTCTACATGCTTGGTTCTATCATGTTGGATTGGATTGTGAGCTATTTCAATTGCAACCTTATTATCACAATACAAATTCATAGGATCATTGTGACTGATTTCTAATTCTTCCAGTAGTCTTTTTATCCATAGCATTTCACAAACTCCTTGAGCCATACCCCTGTACTCTGCTTCTGCACTTGATTGTGCCACTACCTTCTGTTTTTTGCTTTTCCAAGTTACAAGGTTACCTTCTACAAAGGTAAAATATCCAGAAGTTGACTGTCTTGTGGTTTTATCTCCCGCCCAATCTGAATCAGTAAATCCTACAACAGATGATCTTTTTCCTTTGGAAAATAGTAATCCTTTTCCTGGAGATCCTTTCAAGTATCTTAATATTCTGATTACTGCCTTCATGTGATCTTCACTTGGGTTGTGCATGAAACGACTGACAACACTTACCGCATAACTGATATCTGGCCTTGTGTGTGCTAGATATATGAGTCTTCCTACTAACCTCTGGTACTTTCCAATATCTGTTTGTTTCTGATCTGGATAGATTCCTAGGACATGGTTCATTTCAATTGGTGTCTCTACTGGTTTGCAACCCAGTAATCCAACTTCAGCCAGAAGGTCAAGAATATATTTTCGTTGTGACATGCATATACCTTGGTCTGACCTTGCAACTTCAATACCCAAAAAATATTTTAGTGATCCTAAGTCCTTCATCTCGAATTCAGTGGCCAAATACTTCTCCAAGGCTTTCATTTCACATAAGTCATCACCTGTGAGTACCATATCGTCTACATATACTATCAAAACTGTAATCTTTCCTTCCTTGTGTTTTATAAACAGAGTGTGATCAGAATTGCTCTGTTTATACCCAAATTTTTTCATAGCTAATGAGAATCTCCCAAACCAAGCTCTCGGAGACTGTTTTAATCCGTATAATGCTTTCTTGAGCCTGCATACTTTGTTTTCCTTCAATGAATTTTTCTGCAGACCAGGAGGGATTTCCATATATACCTCCTCTTCAAGATCTCCATTTAGAAACGCATTCTTAACGTCAAACTGTTTCAAAGGCCAGTTTCTGTTTGCAGCCAAGGAGATAAGAATCCGAACTGTGTTCAATTTTGCCACAGGAGCAAATGTCTCCTGATAATCCACTCCAAACTTCTGTGTGTACCCTTTGGCAACCAATCTTGCCTTATATCTGTCTAGTGTCCCATCAGCTTTCAACTTTATGGAAAAAATCCATTTACATCCGATAGCTTGCTTTCCATTTGGCAGAGGACATAACTCCCAAGTAGAGTTCTTTTGCAAGGCATCCATCTCTATATTCATTGCTTCCTTCCACCTTGGGTCAGTCATTGCATCCTGCACATTAGTAGGAATGTATACACTAGACAATTGATTAGTGGTCAATGCATATGATTCGGATAATCTGTGAGAAGATATAAAATTACTTAGGGGATATTTAGCAGGTGCTTTGGGGTCAGGTTCATAGTATTTTTTTGGAATACCTTTTGTGAGTCTTTGAGATTTTCTAACTGGTGATGGATTAGAAGAAGGTGAAGGAATAGGAATAGAAGATACCTGAATCTCTGTTGGTGCATCCATGGATGATACTTCGGTTTCTGGTTGTAAACATGGTAGTTCAAGTGTGGACTCATGAAGAGGAGCAAAGGTATCAAGTTGTGATGTAGGATTAAGATTGCAATTTAAATCATCACTATCTGTGGTAGCTTCGGCTGTTGGCAGATTTGTTGGACTGACATATGTGTAGTCCCAATTATCTTCTCGTTCTCCAATAATGTGATGAATCTCCCCCTGAGAAGGAGAAGAAGATACTCCCCCTGAGTAGAATGGCTCAAATTCCCTGAAAGAGACTTCCAAAGATACACAGATTTTTTTTAGAGAGGGGTCATAGCACCGATAACCTTTTTGGACAAGGGAGTACCCAACAAAGATGCATTTGTTGGAACAAGGATCAAGCTTGTTTCTGAGGGGTTTAGGGACATGAACATAGACAGTGCAACCAAAGATACGAGGCTCAAGATTAGGTATATGAGGGATGGAGAAAAATGATTCAAGTTTTTGTTGTGGTGTTTGAGAGTCAAGAGAACTAGAGGGTGTACGGTTAATCAAATATGCAGCAGACATGAGGGCTTCTCCCCAAAAATGCCGAGGGACATTCATGCCAAAAAGAGAAGCTCGAACAACTTCAAGTAGGTGTCTATTTTTCCGTTCAGCCAAGCCATTTTGTTGGGGAGTATAGGGGCAAGAGGTTTGATGCTTGAGACCGTGGGTGGTGAGAAACTCAGTGAAGGTGGAGTTTAAATACTCTGTACCATTATCAGTTTGCAAAACCTGAATATGAGACTGAAATTGGGTTTTAACCATTTGAAAAAAAAAATTAAAAGCAGAGAAGACATCACTTTTGTGAGGAAGAAGTGTAACCCAGGTCATACGGGTACATTCATCAATAAAGGAAACATAATAGAGAGCTTTAGACAAAGAGGGAACCTTTGCAGGTCCCCAAACATCCGAGTGTATCACTTGAAAAGGAATTGTACTTTTATTTAAGCTGGGATAAAAAGGAATCATATGGCTCTTAGCCAATGTACAAGTGGCACATTGAAAATCAGATGTGCTTATTCCAGAAAATAACAAGGGAAATAATTTTTTTAAATAACCAAAACAAATGTCCTAATCTAAGATGCCAAAGCCAAATCTGCCGTGTATTCTTGGAAGTGCTTGAAGTGCTGCATGTCAGAGGATTATCTTCGTTGTGCTTCAGATCCAAGTAATAGAGACTATCACGTTTAATACCAGAGCCAAGTATCATCTTGGTGCGGCTGTCCTGAAATAAACAATGGGTGGGAAAGAAGGTGACAAAGCATTGTAATTCAGATGTGAGTTTACTAACAGATAACAGGTTAAATTCTAAGGAAGGGACAACGAGAACAGAGGAAAGAAATAGAGTGGTGGATAATTGTAAAGATCCCTGTCCTGTTATGGTCGACGTGCCACCATTAGCAGTAGAAACAACAGGGATGGGGCAAGGAGTAAAATTATTCAACTGACAAGAATCCCGAATCATATGGTCAGAGGCGCCAGTATCAATAATCCAAGTATAAGACCTACCATGTACAGAGAAAGTATGAGGCTTACCTAGGATACTTGTTTGTGCAAAATTTGCTTGAGGAGTAGGTGAATCACCTTCGGCAGTGGTCAATAGTCCCTTGGTGGGCATTTTCTTTCGGGGCCGCTTGGAGAAGTCCCACCATTCAGGGTAGCCAATAAGAGCATAGCAGCGTTGCTTCGTGTGTCCTGTTTCTCCACAATGAGTGCAGACATAAGAGGACTTTAACGAGGAAGAGGAAGGTTCACGCCGAGGCTTACTGGAGGCACTAGGGTGAGAGGAGAGAGACGCAAATGCAACAGTATCGGGTTGTGGCTTGGAAGGAGCCATGGTTTGGCGTTGTTGAAAATCCTTGCGTACATATGCATAAGTGCTTTCCAAATCTAATTTTGGATCCTTACGAAGAATTTCTCCACGAATATGAGTAAAATCAGAGTCCAGTCCTGCGAGGAAGATGTGCACACGGAGACAGGAGAGGACAGAGTAGCCATTGACAACGCCATCAACAGTGGAAGAAGAGGAAGACAATCGGTGATCAATCTCTTGGAAGATTGATAATAATTCGTTGTAATACGTGGAGAGGGGGCGACCAACTTGCTTTGTGGAGAAGGAGCGTTGATTGAGTTCGTATAAGCAAGTTTCATCCGAGCCATCATAGAATGTCTTGGTTGCGGCTTCCCAGATTTCAGCCGCTGATTCCAGCCGAAGGAACCGATGCATGAGAGCGGGAGACATCGAATCGATCAACCAACTTTTTACACGTTTGTTGTCGGTGACCCAGGTATCATACGATGAGTCATTGGTGTTAGGTTTCTTCATAGCGCCGGTGAGGAACCCAGATTTGTTGCGAGCACCGATGCGCATATCCATGAGTTGCGACCAATGAGGGTAATCGGAATCATCTAGAACGATGGTGATGGGAAGAGACGAATGATCTTGGTGAATAACGATATTGGGTTGGGGTGGATTTGGGATGGCGGTATCTGAGTTCGACTGATCTTCAGCCATGGAGGGTGTAGAGTGAAACAACCGATTTGGGGGTTAGGGTTGGGTAAGAGAAAATTGTTTAGGAATGGGAAATATGGGTAAAGTGTCGGGTGAGAAAATTGGGTGGGTAAATGACTATGGAATAAAGGGTGTGGGACTTGGTTTAAAGTATTTTTCCCTGGATCAGAACTTTGCTCTGATACCATGTCAAAATTTGGTACCTGATACAAAACTTCATTCTTTCTTACTTCTCATTCCTCAACAGAGGTGAATTTATACACATACATGGTAAATAGATAGGATTGAAAGTAACATCTAACAAATTCCTATTCTAATCTATTTGTTATAAACTTCCCTATTTACAAGGACTAAACTAACAAAGCAATCTGAACAATTAAAATCAAATCTGGATCTTTTAAATTTAAATACATTTTAACACTTATGTATTTAATATATATTCTATTCCATAAATAAAAAAAGAGGAACTTGAGAAAAAAGATTGAAACATTGCATTTACACATGAAATTCTATTAGCAAAAGCAGGGAGAAAAAACTAACATTGCACTTGCACACATATCTTACAAAATATCACACATGGTGTGTATTGAGGATAATGATACATAATTTTTTCATAAATTCTACGCAAACTGATGTATCTGAATTTATTTGGCTCCAACTTAACTTAAAATAAATAAAAAAATATAGGTTGGGGCCAATTAAATTCAAATAACAGTCATTCATCAGTTTGGCACAGAATCTGTGAAGAAAATTTTAGTTTAATATCACTACTAGCTATTTAACATGCCCTACCACCCTAGCTAGTTTTCATACTTGTAAACCAAGAGATGCATCCAAAGTTGGGTTTCCCTCCATTTGAACACAAAGGCCCTCTTTGACCCTTATTGACTCCCTCTTGTAAATGTATCTACTTGAAGCCCAAAGAAATACCACTAAGTTGACACTTGACAAGACCAACAGAAACCCATAATAGTAATCTAAGTGACAATCATTCAAGTTGTCACCTATCCAACTCTTTCTCTCACCCCTTCCTGTTATTTTATCAACCATTGTTACCAAAAAGCTGTTCAAGAAGTTGCCAACACCAATCCCACTTGTGAAGAACGTTGTTCCAAGACTCTGCATGTCTTCTGGGGATTGATCATAGAAGAATTCTAACAATCCTATGGCATTGAACACATCTGCTATCCCAATTAGAACGTACTGGGGCAACAACCAAAATATACTCATAGGGACAATATCTTTAGGACCAACTACGTGGTTTTCTCTTATGACATGCATTCTCCTAACTTCAACAGCATAAGCAATTGCAATGGCTATGATCTGGATTGAAAATCCAATTCCAAGCCTTTGAAGCAACGTGATTCCTCTAGGGTGGCCAGTTTTCCGGCACATGAACGGCACGAAAAACCGGTCATACATTGGCACTGAGAGTAGCATAGAGAGGGTCACGAAGCTTCCAAGAGATGCTGCTGGAATTTTAAAATTAGGACCAAGGCTTCTGTCCAAGGTGGTGCCTTGTTTCACAAAAAGAGTGTTGATTTGTGCCCAAATGGTGCTGGGAATCAGTGTTACTAGCCATATAAGGACCATACCAAAGATAAGCTTAGCTCCTTCCACTTGTGTTACAGTCAATGGTACTCTTGAGGAATCAGTATTGTCTTCTTTAATAGCAGCATTGTCCAAAAACCTGAGTACACAAGTTGCATTCAGTCGACCAGTGTTTGTTTAATCACTTTCTAACAAAATTGGAGTAAGAAAAAAATAGTCTTTGTCCAGTGTGTAGTTGTGGTATATTCCAATCTTCTGGTAATGGATTCATCCTATTCCTATGGTAGCTTTTACTGCATGGACAGAATCAAATTGAATGTTTTGTTCCGTTTTTTTTATCTTTGGTTTCACCCTTTTCATAGAATCAAAACATACCACTATTTAACCATATGTCTTGTCCTGTTTTATTTTTAAAATTTGCTAAACATAAAATAGAATTCATATATGGAAAATATTATTCTTATGCAACATAAGATAACATCTTTTTCCTACACACCCATTAATTTTCGTGTAGTTTAATTTGTAATTTTTTATTTTTAATAAGTGAGTGGACTCCACCCATAATTGTGTCTATGGTAGGAGATAACACTCTCCTACAACATGAGATTACTAAAGCCCTTCATATATATATGTCACGTTTTGTTCCGCTGTACCAAACGTTACTACTTGTCTCTCTATGCACCAAGAATGCAAATGTGGACTAAAGCGTTTCGCATGCAAGTATGTTATGGTTGGTAATAACTAGGAGTGATTGTAATAATTTCTCTATGCACCGAGAATGCAAATGGGGACTAAAGCGTGTTACGCATGCAACATGTTATGGTTGGTAATAACTAGTCGTGTTTTTAATAATTTTTGAGAGAGTGGTATATTGTGGACACAACTGTGACACTTCCTGTATGGAAAAAGAGCCTGGTTGAAAAAGTCATTTAAGAGGGCCTCAAAGAAGGACATGTGAACTGTGCACATGGAAAGAATTCAATGAGACGAATGACATAGCGGTCCTCACCACTAGCCCCACCCTTTTGTTTCAAATAGCGGGTTCCCTATTTGTGCACATAAAATTGTACTGGATGAACCCCCTTTGACTGCTTATTGGCCAAGAGATTAAAATGGAGAATGTGGAATCTTTAGGAGTGGACCACTTTCTAGATTCTGTATCAAATTGATTTGTTTGGTAAAGATGGGAAATGCCTTTCCTGGTTCCAAATTTTACTGTATATTACTATATAATTACCCCACCTGCCCAAAACCACTACTAGAAATGAGCTGTGTCAGCTCCCAACCACTGATGTGCAACTTGTGCACAAAAATCTTTAAAACATTAGAATCCAAAGTGAAAACATATTAGCTATTAATGTTTCTCATATTATAAGAGATAAATTTTATCTTTTACCAACACATAAAAATATGTGTGACTCATATTTTTTTTTCTCTCTTCTCTTTATATGGCCCTACATACTTTTATATGTGTTTAGAAGATACAATTATCTCCGTGAGAAACATTAATCCCAACATATCAAGCTCAAAAATTTGAGAAACCCCTTCTTCTCCGGCCACATATTCCCATATCATAGAAGAAAATGAAATAGAAAATGAGAAAAAAGAGAGGAGTGAGAGTGTCTCACCTCAAAGATGGAGTGTGATAGACTTGCCGTTTTCCACAAGTAATGTAATGTTGAAGATCGTGCTCATAAAGATCTGAGGGGTCACTAGGGAGTTGGAGTTTTCTATTCCTGAAGGTTGCAATAGGGACACGAATTAGGTCCCTTGCTGGACATTTTGTAGTCCTAACTTTGTGACGATATATTGGCGTGCCTATATAGAATATGATTAAGGACAATATGAGACCAGCAGTGGGGATGCCATAGCCAAGTCCCCATCCCATGTTTTCTTGAATGTAGACAAGGCCTAAAGTGGCAATCAAAGCACCTAAAAATGAGGTAAACATCCACCAATTGAAGAATGAAGCCTTGAGCTCTTTCTCATTGGGATTGAAATCATCAAATTGGTCAGCACCAAAGGTTGAGATATTGGGTTTTGTTCCTCCAGCCCCAATTGCCATAGTGTAGAGTGCTGTGTAAAAAAATGCAATTTGTGATCTAGAAGCCTTGTTGCAAATGCCATTGGTGCATGTTGGCCTCAAGCTTTTGAGTGATACAGCTACAGTGAGAAGAGTCATCCCCTGTGACATGTAGAGGAACTAGTGCATGAGGTGGTTTGCTATACAAATGTATAACATAGAATTATAAAAAATAAAAATAAAAAAGAAGAATAAATTAAGGTAACAATCTATTGGGATGAGAACGTTTAGCCATTGGGTTACTAGTTTCAACCCACTAAGGCTCCCACGTCTATCATATACATACATCAAATGATACATCATCATTAATTATGCCACTAACCTTACGTAAAGTAAAGTGATCATTTAAAATTATTTGTCATAGTTATACCTAAGACTTTGAGGGAACAGTGACTAAGTTGTCACATGTTTAAAAAAAAATTTCAAAATGTCACGCCACTTGAAAAATTTGCCAAGCTGTCATGCCTCCATACTTGTTGACAGTTGTAACGAGTTTGGATTGTCACGTGTCACGAAATGATAGGTCACTAAAATCATTTTTGTCTAAACTCAATTCCAGTGACAGCAACTTTGGTGACTTATCGTTTCGAGACACATGGCACAAAATTTTGAAAATTTTATTGTAAAATTTTGGAAGGCTATAACTTTTTGCCTAGGTATTTAAATCAAGTGATTTTTTTTTTATTTCACATAATTTTTCGAGATCTACACGCTGCCAAATATCCGTAGGAGATGTGGTCAAAATATTTTCCCAAAAAAGTGCTTCCTCCCGTTTGGCATATTTTATCTCCGTAAATAATGCTATATAATTTCTATTCTTATTTTCACTTTCAAACATTAAAAAAGATTTCAAAAAATTATATAGAATAAAAAAAGTATCCGATCTGGACACATGAATCAAAAGTTATGAATTTTCGAAAAATGAGTTGACTTTCTTCTACTACATGGCCATCTATACTCGCTTCCACTAATAGTAGAGTTTGTCTTGTTTTACCACATGGTAGTTCAAACTTGCTACAACTGCCAACAACTTGAGAGGCATGACAGTTTGGCAAAAAATTTAGTGGCGTGCCGTTCTGGAATTTTTTTTCGAAAAAACATGACAACTTGATCACTGTCGCAGCTTCGAGAGCCATTCTTTTACCATCAATCACATGGTGATTAAGCCTTCCATTATAAGTTCTTATCCATTTTTATTAACTGACACATGCACACGAATTAGCATAAATATTCTTATTTGTTTTGAAATGAATATTTCAAAAGAGAGATGACACATATATAAAAAGGTCGTATTTTACTCCAAACACATGGATTAATTGACATCAGTTGTTCCAACTTAATTAATAATATTATACCGGAAGGCACAAACCAAGGAACAATTTCAATTCAAAACTTTAAGAAAAAAAAATTATAAATCTTTTTACTTATATCATGGTGGGGCTATATGAATCATAAATAAGTTGTTTAGGACTATTTATGACATTTGGAAAATCATATATATAGCAGCCTAGCGTCCCACAAATGCAAATAATGGAATTGTTTGGACTTTGGCTGGGATTAGGTAACGTAAAATAGTCCAAAAAGGTGGTCTCCTCTGCTTGGAAGATAAAGATGATAAATGTAGATGCAATTCATCATGGTTAATTCTATATTAGACTCTTGATTTTATACTTTAAAAGGAGGGAAAAAATTACTCTGATGCTACATATGAGAATTTTCTCTCCTACACACCTTCGATAACTGTGTCACCTTTTTCTTTTCTTTTATTTTTGTTTTTCAGGTGGTGGAGCCTATAAATTTATCTCTATAACATGAGATAACTTATCTCTTTTAACATGAGATTAATAAAATCTTTAAAAGAGATATAACAGTGTGATAGATCTTAGCTTACCAAGACATAAATGAGAGATGAGAGGGTAAAAGTCCAGAAGCGACCCAAATAAGAATCGGCTATGTAAGCCCCAAGAATTGGTGTTATCCACACAGATCCTGACCAGTTATTCACATTCCTCACTGATGAAACTGTATCTTCATGAAGTTGGGTTGTAAGGTAATTTACTAAGTTTGAAGCAACTCCATAGAAGGCCATCCTTTCAAATGCTTCATATCCTGAAATATTATGCCATAAAAAAATTGAAACCTTAAAAAATATATCGCATAATCATATGTTGCACAAACGAGAAACTTTGTTATTATATATATAATGCTATAACTCCACAGAAATCACCACTAACAATGCTATAGAAACTGTGTGAAGCCTACTATGTTGGAATATACTTTAAGAGTTCTGTTTAAAAGAAACTAAACTTGAGCCTAAACATGCATATGAATCAAGAGATCATAGTAAAGGGTTGCTTAATTAACAATCTATCAGCATAATGTAAGTAAGGGTTTACAAATTCTTTGTCCTTTTCTGCAGGGAACAAAATCTTCAAGGAAAAAGATAGTGAAGATATAAAACAGTTCACCATCTAAGAAAAGCTTACAAAGTGAGTAAATATTTTGGTTAGAAATAAATATGCTTACCAACAAGAAAAGCACAAGCTTTCCATTTGCCAGTTTTAGAGGGAAGTGCAGGGCAGCCACGGAAGTCAACAGTGCCATCTTGGGTATAATCTGCTTTAGCTTCCATTAGAGATATATAGCAAAAAAGGATAACAAGAATAAGAGGTAGTGATGTATCTTATAAAGCAATAAATTGAGAAAGAGATCACTGCTAGAGAATGCGGTTGTTGTAACCATTTATAAAGCTTAAAAGCTCTGTTATTATCATATATTAAATTAAGGAAATGTAAATATTATGTTAAATGATGTAAATTGTGACATGTCAGCTATTATAATTATGTATTTCAAAGAACATATTATTATAATATTAAAAAATTTCTTTTTTTTTCCCGGTTTGTCGGCTGAGCGCTGATGTAAAGAAAAAATAATAATTTTAATATTATAATTATATATTTTTTGAATCACATAATTCATCTAAACTAATATTCGATGGATCCATTAAATCAACGTAAAGTTTCTAGACTACCCATGACGACATCCTTAAATTTACTTTGTGTACGTCATAATAGGTTTACAGTAAATTGAAAAATTAGCGTATCATCATTATTGCCATTTAATTGTTATTTGACATGCGTCTAGCATATGATGCTTTCTAACTTAAGAGAAGCAAAAAAATTAATCATAAATGTGTGAAAATAAGCTATAAAATGCAAGAAATATTGATTATTTATTCTCAATCATTCTCTCACTCAATTTATGTGTTTTAACGGCAAGAAACACCAAAAAAAGAGATGAGAGAAGTGCGGTTTTTCAGCTGGCGCACTTTGCGCGGGACTTGGTGCAAAGTGCGCCATTTGATCCAATTTGTCCCTGTATCATGGCGCACAATGCGCGGGCTTGGCGCACTTTGCGCGGGACCTGGCGCAAAGTGCGCCATTTGACAGCTTTCCCTCTGTTTTTACATGCAAATTGCGCCAGAGTTGGTGCAAAGTGCGTGGGCGATATTTTTAATTTTAGTCTAATGCGAATTACTCAAAAAGGAGGCCCAATTGGAGAGCAAGGAAACAGAATAAAAGGATCATAAACAGAAGAAGGAGGAAGGAAGGACTTTTTAACAACAACGAAGAGAAAAACAACAACGAGAGGGAGAATTCTTGGGAGCTTCTTGGAGTTTCAAAGATTCGAACGATCAAGACGGAAAATCTTCATCTTCTTTCTCTCCTTTAGGTTCTGAATTTTATTTTCTTTTGTATTGATTTTGTCAGACATGAATATGTCTGGCTAGTTTTATTATTGTGATAAGGATCACAAGCCTTGATGTGAACCCCTTGTAGTTTGTTGAAGTATGTTTATCTATTCAAATTGAATTTATCTTGCCTTGTTCTTCATTCTATAATTCTTTTGAAACTGATCAATCCATCAGGATTGCGAGGGTTAGGGTTTTCAATAGGGATATTGGAATTCTAATTCCTCACAAAGGGTAAGATAATTGTTCATGTATGCACTAGGGATAGGCTATATGAACCGCAAACGTTAAAGATTCATTGATTCTAAGGGTTAACTTGAAAAGGAATTTATAAGAGATTAGGATTCTAATAGAGTTAATAAGGTTAAAGTCACTAAGAAATTAGGGTTTAACTAATTTTTAAAAGATGATGAATTGTTTGATCAATTGAATAGGCAAACGTAAATGTAATCCAAGCTGCAAGGTGGGGATCATAAAGGTGTTGGCGTCTTTTTACCGCAATATTTTCTCACATATTTTCTCAACCTTTATTTCGTATTCTTGAATTCTAAAAGAACCTTGAATCATTTACATTTTCTTGAATTGTTATCATTTATTTCACAAACCATACTTGTTCTCAAACCATTTTTACTTATCCAACAAGAGAGGAATAGTTATAATAAATTTGGTGCCTCAATCCTCGTGGAGACGATACTCTACTTACCCTTTTATTACTTGGTACGATCGGTACACTTGCCGATTTCGTCAACATTATTAAAATAAGGTACACTTTTTAAATATTTTATAATAAAAATGTGATTTTGTTTTTATACATTTGAACTTTTATTAATTACAACTTTTTACATTATAGGTAGGACTGACATGAGCCAAGTCGACTCACATGCTATTTAAGGCTCAATTAGCGGAGCTTAGTAAATTAAATTCATAAACTCATAAACTAACTTGAGTTAAAAAAATTTAACCCACTTAATAAACGGGGCAAACCTCAACTTTTAAATAATGACATGGAGTTACTGTTGGTAAATCAATTAAACTTTGTTAGGAACCAATTATGCTATTCGTTTTTGTATTTTAAAAGGGAAAAATATTTGTCTTATTAAAAGATATAAACTTAGGTAATTTTTAGAAAGAGATAGATATAAAGAGGTGTGAGTTTCACTAGAAAAAAATATAAAGGTGTTGTTAGAAATATATAAAATTATTAATGTAATCATCACCCAACAGCTTAGGTTTTTGGGTTGAACTGGTTCTTTACATGGTATCAACGCCTTGGTGTCACGAGTTCGAGTCAATAAAATAAATCTATTTTTCTATTAAGTTTGGACTTGAGTCAAGCAAATTATGATCGAGTTGAGACCCAAGTCATGCTCAACTCATTGTTAATCCAATATACATCTTCTAGTACATTCAGATCAAAATGAGAATAAAATAATTCTTGCATTTTATCAAATCTGATACAAAGAGTGCAGAAAAAATGATACAGCAGATGAAAAACAAAAGGGAAAGATAAGTACCTTTGACTAATCTCTAACTAACTCAGAACATTAACTATGGTAAAAAAAATAAAACAATAACTAATTGATGAAGTTAACTAACCAAAGACCCCAAATAAAGTTAACACTTATTACTCCCCCTTAAGATGAACATTGGATATCCAACACTGTCATCTTGGACAACAAAGAAACCAGAGTTGTGGAGGGCAAAGCTTTTGTAAACATGTCTGCCAATTGATCTTGGGACTTGATCGGGATCAATCGGATCCTTCGAGAAGTGTCCTGATCTCTAACAAAATAGCAATCAATTTATATGTGTTTTGTCCTCTCATAGAAAGTTTGATTTGAGGCAATATGCATGGCTGCCTAATTATCGTAGAAGAGTAAGGTATGAGATGAAATAGACAACTCAAGATCAAAGAGTAGTTGAGAAATCCAAACTACATCAGCAACAGTGGCAGTCATTGCTCTATATTTCGCCTCAGCTGAGCTTCTAGAAATGGTAGTTTGTTTCTTGGCTTTGCAAGAGATTAAGGATTCTCCAAGAAAGACACAGAAACCAGTCATAGACTTCCTTGAATCAGGACATCAACCTAATCAGCATTACTAAAAGCCTTCAGTTGCAGTGAAAAGAAGAAGGAAACAACAAATTTTGCCTAGGATGACTTTTAAGATACCTAAGAAGGTGATGAACAGCTTGCAAATGAAGTGTACGTGGCTGTGAAATAAAATGACTAAACCTATGAACAACATAGGTTATGTGAAGCCTTGAAAGGGTCAAGTATACAAGTCTACCAATTAATTATGGTTCTATACTGAGAACATTTTTGAAGAAGATCACCATCTGTATTATTAAGAACAACTTTTGGGTCCATGGGTGTGGCAGCCGATTTTGAAGCTAAAAAACATGTATCTTCAAGAAGCTGAAGAGTATAATGTCTTTAGGATAACACAATTCATTTCTTGGCTCTAGCAATCTCTAAGCCTAAAAATACTTGAGATTGCCTAGATCGTTAAGCTTGAACTGAGAATGAAGAAAAGACTTAACACCCTCAACTAATGCAGGAGATGGACTGGCTAGGATGATATCATCCATACATACCAAAAGTATTATTAAGGAGGAACCTGAGCCTTTGTTGTAGAGTGAGTAAAATGGTTTCTTCAAGCACCGGTTGAAAGCTTGATGATAGTTGAACGATCGGCCTTAGTCTGAATGTAACTCTCAGTAGTGAAGAGTGAACCAGGATATATCCCGGTGCTATCTTCTCTTCCCTTACTCTTTAATTTTTCGCTGGATATTACTCTTCTTTTATTCTTTATTTTTGATAATATGAATTTGTTTTAAAGGATTGGAAATTTTTGCTATTAGTTAAATCTCTCTTGCATGCTTTCTTTAAAAAGTGGTTTTTAATTTTCTTTGTTTAATTCAAAAAGGTTTAAAACATAATTCATCTCACTCCCCCCTTTTGTGTTGTTATTCAACCATTATTTCTTTACACATTCAGAAAAGCATTGTTAACATCTAATTGAGAAAGATACCAATTTTGTGAGGAAGCAATAACCAGCAAAGTTTTGATTGTAACTAATTTTGCCACAGGAGAAAAGGTGACTATGAAGTCTATGCCTTCTTTTTGGGTAAAGCCTTTAGCTACTAGTCTGGTTTTATATCTCTCCTCAGTTCCATCAGAGTTGAACTTTATCTTGTAAATCCACCTACATCCAATAGCATATTTTCCTTTAAGCAAAGGAACAATTGACCATGTTTTGTTATTTTCCAAAGCTGAAATTTTAGCTTACATGGCTTCACGCCGGCGGGGAAACTTCACTGCTTAATGAAAGTATTGAGGCTCATAATGTAAAGAAACATTAAGCACAAAAGCTTTGTGATAGGATAATAATCTGTTATAGCATATAACATAATTTAGAGGTTATTGAACCGAAGAATCATTGCTAACAGATTTTGTTAACATATTACAATGGTAATGCTTGAGATATGAAGGAAGCTTGGAAGGCCTTGTTGAACGCCTCACTGAAATGTGTGTAGGTTCAGGTTGACTTGATGTGTCTCCAATTAGAGGCTGGGTGTTAAACATAACATCAGTCCCGGAATTGTCCTGAGGAAGTGCAGACTTAGAATTAATGAACCCATGTCCAGAATTAGGAACATCCTGAATGATTGGAGATGATGGAAGATCAGATGACTGCGAAGGTTGACCAAAATTAAATGAAATGTCATTTGCAGAGTATGTGATACTTTTGTGGGGTAGAATAAGTTCTGGAAAAGGATCAAAGTCAGTGTGCTCAGCTCCATGTTGATTGGGAAAGACATCTTCATGAAAAATAACATCTCTAGATATAAACACTTGACAATTGTCCAAATCAAAGAGT